TTCTCTCTCCCTTATCAGCTCTACAGGCCTCACATCCTCGCTGTTCTGCCTCCAACGTGACAGCAGAACTCCCTCTGGGTAGAGCAGAAAGGTAGTCACAGAGCTGTGAGCAGACGTTGGAGGAGTTAAACAGCGCTTGACCACATTTCCTTCAGCGCATGCCACTTATTCCAGGCTCATACAGCTGTAGGTCTCTGCCTGCCTCAGTCACCTAAATTCTCCTGCCTTCTCGGCCCCGGTTTTGCCAAGTCAGAAAGCCAGCTCAAATTGTTTTCTCTTCTCTCCCCATCTCCTTGCAAATGAATCATGTTCCAAAGGCTTGAATTTTAGAAGCTCTCTTCTGCGTCCCTCATGTTTGATGTGTAATTTCCACATCACTTTTGGAGGGACTTCCAAAATGACTTAATCGTCATGCATCAACACTCCTCACTTGAAACAGTTCAGTTGCCCTGTTTTTGAAAGCAGACACAGGTTATGGTCAAGTGCTAAGAGATAGTTGGCAGCACAGAAAAGACATAGACAAGTGATTTAGAGTGGATTAAGTACGTGCTCAACTAGGCATCAATTTCCCTTGGTGTGCCTAGGCAGAGCAACGCGCTTTTGAAAATAACACCCCAGGGACTGAGCGTGCTCTCTCCAATAATCGTACTCACTTTAAAATTGTATTTAATCTTAATTTTGTTTGTCTGGAAAAAATAGAGTCTTAGCCCCTGAGGTCTCATTCTTCATCAGTATGGCTTGCATGTTTCTCATAAAAGTTTCACTGATCGCTTTAATCAAAGCCTTTTCACATTGTGACGGATTTCCAAGCAGCGATAAATCATTTTGCCCAAGTGAGGGTAGTTTTTGAAACCATCCTAAATCCTGACAACAAACACTCAGATCACTGGGATCCCTGAATCAAACTGAACTGAAAATAATTTACACCCATTGGATTTGATCTGTTTTGATGGGTACAGCTGTTTGCTGTTTTTTTTAAACCGGTGACGCACTAATGTCAGAGCCCACACCGCGTCATGCGGGCATGTCTCTTCCCAACTCTGTTTAGCCAACAGGGCAGGTCAGAGAGGCACAGCACAGAGAGAAAGACACCGCAACACACCTTTGAGATGAAACAAGCCCAGCTCAGACACACTGAGGCAGATCCAAGGCTGCAGGGAGCTCTTCCTGTGCCCAGGGTACTCAGGATGCAGGTGACCGTGTGGTGTCGGTGCCCCTTGAACAGCTGCAGGGGTCCAGCACTACTGTTCACACTGCCGTTGCGCAACTAACATCCTCCTCTGGAGCAAGTGCCCCCTTGTTATGTAACTGCAGTGTGTCTTTGAACTCGGAGCCTCTGCAGCCTCTGGGCAGGGGCCTGCGAGATTGTTAGCCCCTGTGCTCTTTTCTGCTGGCACACCACAGCTGCTGCACACAGAGGCGACCTTGGAATACAGCCCTTGAAGGTCCTGCCCCAGAACCTTGCAGCAGGTAGAAAGCGCAGCCGTCTTAAAACAAGCAGCCCCAACCACAGAGGGAAAAACCTGCACAGCACCTAGTGCAAAAAGCAGCAGGCACAGAGCGCCTCCGTATCTACTGGGTACAGACGTCATATTGATCCAGCAGGCAGCATAGATCTGGGGGTGAGCTTGGGCTGATTTTAATGGGGCTGGGTTAGGGTTTCACCAACACCTAACGTAATGATTGACCTGCAACTCCTGATTCCTGAATCGCTTCCTCAATAAGACCCAAAACAAGAAGGAATGAAATTCCTTAGCTGTCACTCCACATCAAAAATAGAGACAACTCCTTTTTAAGCGACAAGCAAGGAAACGTGTTGCTTGTCAAGGCAGACTGACTGCCTCTGGAGCTGAGAGCTGTGCTTGTGGACTCAAAGTGATCTGAATTAACGAGAGATCACTTGCAGATCGGACGCACAAGGCACAAGGAAGGGTCTTTAAGCACTCATTCACTCCTGTAAACATCAACCCAGGGTGCTGCCCTGATGATCAAACTCCGCTAGGAGGTATTTGTATTTTTCAGATTTATTTCAGAGGAATAATATTAAACTGTTGTTTAGTGTGAACGAAAAAACAACAAGTGGAACACCTTGAAGTCCTTTTGGTACTGACTGACATCTATGGCTTCAACTTAATAGAAACAGCACACTCATCTTAACATTTTACTACTTTTTTCTGTATTTTATTCTGGTTCAGTTTTTATTGCCTCTCATTTTATAGACAGACTAGGATTCCTTTTTTTAAATTGACAATATCTGAAATATCTGAATATTGTGCTTAAATCAATTAGATGTGATTAAGGAAAATAATGTAATAAAGCTTCATTGTTTTTTTTTTAAAAAGAATGAAAGATCCCGGTATTCCTAAAATTCCAGGAATGACACAACCATGAGTCTTGCTGACGGCAAAGATCAGACAAGACAGATAACAGCAGATAAGAAAACGTCACAGGATATTATTTCTAATTCAGTTGGAGTCATGAAAACCTGGCAAACTTTGTTCCTTTTAATAGCAGTTAGCAGTGAAATGCCAGTGGTATATTTTGCTTTCCTCTTGAATCAGATAGTGGAGCCAGTTGGTTTATTTCCTGTCGGTTGGTCGCTGACAATGAGCTGGAATGAGACTGCAGTGTCCTCGCATTGTTTTCCACTGTGCGCCGCACGAACGTGAGCCTGTGACTGATAATCATCACGCTGGGGAAGGCCGGGGGCGGTCTGGGAATTTTATGTGTTGCGTTTGCATCACGGGTCTCGCTGAATAACCGCAGTGACCAGATTAACAATAGATTCTCATCCACAAAATACAGCTTTGCCTTCTGAACCACAGGCTGGGTCAGTGTGCCTGGAGGACCTTCGTAAGGTTCCCTGATGCAAAAGCTGTTCCTTTCAGTCCAAGTTCTAAACTCTTAGATTCAACCTTGCTCAAAGCACCCAGCAACCAGGTGAGAGTAGGCTTATTTCAAAATCAGGATGCGGAAATTGTCCCAATTACCAGAAACAGAACATTCAAATGTCAATGAAGAAACATGTCAGGGACTAATATTCTGGTTTAATGGGTTTTTCTATATATGCTTGTTGTGCTATGTGTGCACAAATCTTGATGTGTAGTTTACAGAACCTCATAACCTGCATCTGAAGTACATTCATGCTCTGAATGCTAATCAGTCTTTAGTCACTCACACTCAAATAAGTGCAAATTTGAGTAAAATCAGGTCTTCTGACCTGTGTACACTCCTTCCTGTCTCTGCGCTCGCTATAGAGTTCAGTGGCTGAGTGTTTGAAGTCAGAGAGAGCATCGTTTCTTATCTAATTGTTTTCGAAGAGTAAATTGAGAGGGGTGGGCGCAAGGGAGGGCTTGATAATCCTCCAGCTACTGAAATAAAAATAAACTTGGTGTGTAATTCGTCACTAGTGAATAACGGAGAGTGTCAAGCGAAAGGCTCTTTCATGTCCCTTTTGTACTCGTGTTCCAATTCCCAGCAGAGCCCCAGCCCGTCTCTCAGCCACTCTGACCCCTGGCTGTCCTTGACCGCGAAGAGGAATTTTTAGTGGCTCCAGTTCAGTGTTTTGAACTGCCACAGGCATCCTGACAGAATCACTCTGGCTGTCGTTTGTTTATACACCAGATGTTTACAAAAGCCCTGGTGCGGGGGGGGTCGGGGGGGTGGAAAAGACGCTGTGAGCTCCAGGAGGAAGTCAAGACTCTCGGTCTCCTGGCTCTCTGAAGCCTCTCCAGTCGCCGAAGCCGTTGCGTCTGATCGGGAGGTG